CTCTCTCTCTCTCTCCCTCCTGGTGTCAGTGTGAAAAAGATGATCACTCAACAGAAAATGACCCCCCAACTGCAAACAGCCCGGGGCTTAAAGTGACAGGCTCTGAGGTTAGACTCAGTGTCTGGTTGTGAACATTTATGTCTTACTTTTCTACTTATGAGCTGGGTGATCTTGCAAGAAGACTGCTCCAACTTCAAAGGGGTTTTGATGGATTTTTAAAAAAAATATTTCATCAGTGGTGAAGCTTTCAACTTCTTTAAAGTTACTGCTACAGTAGTTCAGCCACAAATCAAATCTCTGTAATCTCCAGTGTACTGTCAGTGATGATGTGTTTTTATCCTTTGCTTGATTTCTGGATGTTTTGGAAAACATTTGAAACACAGTTTTTGAACTGCACGCACATTTATGTGTGTATGCTCTCTGTGTGTATGTGTGTGTTGTGTGTTTGTAGGTGGGTGAGTTGATTTCTTAATTGTATGTGAAAGTAAAACTTCAGACTCTAAACGCTTTTTTTTCTCCGCACATGCAGTTGCTTAATTCCCCTGCTCTCTAACATTACTGTACATGTTAGTGTAGGTCTGATATTTTAATCTTCCAGCAGCTGTTCACACGACCGTTTCCCATTGGCTTGGCTACAGCCGTGGAAGGTGTGGTCTCAATGAACGATGCTGCATCCTTTGTTAAACAGCAGCTTGCAGCTTAATATTGAGTAGTAGTAAACAGTAAAGAAGCCGTAGCAATGGTCGATAAAAAAAAACTTCCTTTTACCTTTTCCTTTTCATCATAAAAGTGTACTTGTTCAAGCAATTTTATATTTTATCCAATTTCCACCTGTAGCAGCATTTGAGATATGTCCAGTCTACTCAAAGGAATTCAACGAAAGCTCCGACTGAAGTTTAGGAGGAAGAGGAGCACTAATCGAGCAGTTAAGGATCGAGACTTGGCTTGGTGAGAGGAAAACCCGCGAGACGCGAGCTCTTCCTCTGACCATGAGAATGGGCACCATGCGCTCCTCGCCCTGTGCGTAAGCTGCTGTGGAGGACCGACACATTATGAGACGCCATGGCATGGTGTGACCGAAGGGTTCAGACTTTGTTGGCCATCGTGGGGGCCTTCGCCGCCTTTAGTCTCATGACCATCGCCATCGGCACAGACTACTGGCTTTACTCCCGCGCGTACATCTGCAACACCACTAATGCCACCACGGACGAGACCCAGATGCAAACCAAGAAAGTCAGAGGCGACCTGACGCACTCCGGGCTGTGGAGGATCTGCTGTGTCGAAGGTAAAACAAAGTCTAATAAGTTAGTAACCGTTATTCCACAAACTTTTTGGGTGACATACCAAGTGCTTAATGGCACAGGTGAACATCCCCCCCCCCAGTGATGAGCCAGCTGATTTCGGAGGTGACAATATGTTTGGCGTGATCAAATAGTGATTACATGTTCTGTCAGTGACATTAAACTAGATTTAAATGAATGCTCCTGTTGGAAACTCCGAGTGAAAATAATCGAAACGTCTGTGGAAAAAAAGTATACGGCAATTCGCAGTGGTTGTTTGTGTGGTGTGTGACGAAGCACCAAAAATGGAAATAAGCTAAGGGGTGCAACATCATCATCAGTCCTTTCTGTTGATAAATGCGTTAAGTAGCATTGAATGTTGTGGGCATGATATTGTATAAGAAATATTGGATGGACACTACTGCTCGTTGCGCGCAAAGGCGGTGATGTGCGTGCGTAATGCTACTTTAGCGTCAGTTTCCAATGTAAATGATTTATTTTGTCACTGAAAAATAAGTCTCAATGTGCAGATCGTGACATGGAGCCAAATCTAATGGCTTTTTTATGTTTTACATTTTGTTACAGGAAATGTCGCTTGTCCAGTAATAATTTAAGGATTCCTCCTAATTATCTAATTAACTCGACCCTGTTGCTTGGCAACTACTTCCATAAAATTGCTTTGACTGATGAAATAAGTTTCAGCTACAAAAGTAGCGTTTTCCCAATAAACTGACTTGCTTCATGAAATCCTGGCAGCATTTTCTCAGCAGTTCTGCTTATCCATGTTCCCTAACGTACACGCCTGAGGAGTTTTTGGGGCTGGGCTTCCTGCGCTGCTCCTTATTGTTTGGACACATTTGCACATCAATGCGCGCCACTGCATCATTGGAGAGAATCCGGATCAATTAAGTCAATCTGTTTAGTTTTTTTCCCCCTTGTACTTTATTGATAAACAATGTAGAACATAAAAATGGACAGTACACATAACATATTATCATTCAGTTCATCTGGTAGTAGCCACCGGTGGCACCAGTGACGTCTTCCATCAGTCCTGCCTGTTGTGGCGCTGTCCACTGCTGCTGGTGCTGAAATCTCCACTCTCAATGATTTTCTTCCTTTTAACTAAAAACCCAACGAGGCACAATCAATTAATAACCTAACATTTACAAGACAACCTCAGATGAAGGGGGCCAATCGTGACACACTGTAAGCTAGAAAATACTCAGTTTCTGACTTTTAAAGTATTAAACACAACGACTGAAGGTGATCAGCTTTTCCACACTTTCCTGCAGGTGGCACTTCTCATGTTTATGTATCCTTATTCATGGCTTGCAGCCAAAGAGATGTTGCAATTGCAACTGCAGAGGGAAAAAATAACTGTACTATGATTGCATTGTAATGGATCCATTCATATCACAACATTAATAATAATCAAATCACAGAATGTGGTATACTATCAGAAAAAATTCTTATTGTTGTTATAACATTTGACATACATTTACCTTATTGATCACAAGAGAATACTTGATTGCGATGTGTGTGAAGTTAGTAAAGGGAATTTGTTTTATCTCCAAATTGACACTGTTGTCCAAGTAAAGAGGCAACACTCGCCCAAAGGTTTGTCTCATATGCCATTACAGAAGTCACACTTCCTGCACTTTCGGTCTGCACGGTTACTACTCTTACTGGAACTTTAAATAAAAAGTGCATGACTATTTATGGATTTCCTGCAAAGGTATTCAAAAGACACATTCCCTTTCTCTCACCTCAAACCCATGAGAGTATCATCGGCAGAAGGGATATGGAGCACTCACTGTTCTTAAACATCTGTCGTCTTTTCCGCCATCTTCTCTTTCCCCGCTTACATTGTTGGATGTGTGTTACATGCAGAGCTGAAACTAAAACTAACACAACTTATCTGGCTCTTTCTCTTACACATACATCAGCACTATTGCCACACTTTTGCCAAAATTAGATTTTACTGGCCTCTGTGGCACACCTGTATCAGACTTTGGCTCAATTCAAAAAGATAATGGCATCCAATCACTTAAACATCATCAGAATGTCTCCTAAACATACGGGCAATTTGTATAATCTCCCTAAAGTTGAGTTGCACACTGTTTTTCCAAATGCATTCTTCAACTGTCAAAATATTATAGTAATTCTTTCATTTCCTGCATACTTTTCCTACACTTTCCCTTTGTTGTTGATTTGCTTTAAAAAAGAATTTTACACTCATTTTACTCTCCAGTTGAGGGATCATTTCTTCCAGGAAGAAAGAACTACATTGAGTCTAACCAGTTATATTAGGTCAAATGAGTGACATAAATAATGGGTAAACCCTGGGGACACATTGGCTAACCCTGTAGAAGGAATTATGCTTGTCTCTATGTGCCAGACAGACATCTGTATGAGTGTTCTGTCTTGTAGAACAAGGAGGAGGTTCACTGAAGGTGAGCAATGATGGCAAATGAGCTTTTAAAGGAAACAAAGTGAGGTCTTGTTCTGCAGCCAGTCATGCTGAAATGAAACAACAAGAACTCTCACTTAAGCAAGTCACCCCTGTTCACTGAACATGCTGGAGTGGAGTGCTACAGACTTTAAATGGACAAATCCTGCTGATTTGCTGTGAGCCACCACCTCGCCAAGTTTTTTTTTTTCTGCTTTCTGGTCTTGTGGCTTTGTGTGTGTGTGTGT